TTACCTCCAGAAGTTCGTCCATTTTCTACATTTAAACCATAATGGTCCCCACTTTCAGCATGTAGTGTGCAACAACAACGGCACTGTCAATGGTTTTATGCTCAGCTTTCTTGCCCCATAGCGGCCAAAGTACGGTCAGTCTATTTTACTGCTTAAGATGTTTCACCATTGTGCTGTGCAGCTTTCTGAAATGTTATCAGGATGTGGCGCGTGTTGTTCGGCATGTCCATCCTTTTGCACCACGTACTCTGGGAGCTTCTTCAGGAACTTAAATTTCTTCCAGTGCGTGGACCGAAACGTCAGAGATGTCGGCCGGATAGCAGCACATGATACAAAACCTTACAACACATCTGAGAACAAAAGTGTATTTTACACACGAACAACAACCCCTCAATTCACTTGGCGAGTAAAAGAGATAGCAAGCGTTACCACCGGATGACGTGAAAAAATGGACCAGTCGTGTCCGGCCAGCAAGACTCGCTGTCGCCAATCTCTGCCTGTACTTAAGCAAACTGTTTATGATCCCCATGGCACACCAACCTACAAACTGTAGGATTTTGGCAACTCCCAAATAAGGCGCAGAAATTATAATATTTCCATAATTCTACCTATTAGAGATTGGACGGCACATGCATGAACATTGGTCTGCTTACTTTACAGAGCTCTGTATTCGCTCTGGCAAGCGTTGAACCGAACCAAACTGCAGGAACTGGATTTCTAGCTGATGCAATGACCTACATGCTGCTACAGGTCTCATTTTTCAGTATTCAGGGAGTAACAAAAAAAAGGTCAAAGGGGGGGTAAACTAATAACACTTGCAGCTCTACCGCAGTTTTTCCCAACATTATAAACATGGCTGAGTTTGATCGAATACAGAGCAACTCCTCCTGTTTGGGTCCATGATACCCAGGTGCTCCCTTTATCCACGCCCCATAATCGAAACGGTGGAAAGCCTTTTTATCCACAAATGGAATCTCACCAACATCTGCCTTTTTCTAGATTTGAAGTTTTGTGACTGCAAGGATCCATACTCTTTGGTTCTTTCGGTAAAGTCACGTAGATGAAAAAAAATAGTAATAAAATGAAAACAACTAAATTAAATCACAACGTTTCGGAGGCAACACAAGCTTTCGTCATCAGGTGGAACAGCCACAGCAAAATTACTGTACAGTAATTTGTTTTTAAACTACTGTACAGTTAATTTTTTTTAGTTATTTACATTTTATTATTATTTTTATCATTATTTTTAATCTCCGTGAATTTACCGAAAGAACCAAAGAGCATCTGCATTTTTTTCTGTGGGTAACAGGATTCACCGGAAGTAGCTACACGTTCATTTGGGTATCCTCAATGGACGACATACGAATGACTCATCCGGGAAAGGTCGTCGAGTTGGCAACTCTTTCAACAGCAAAGTAAAAACAACCTCAGCAAGTCAGCGTATGCCGTAAAATACACTTTTAAAGTTGTCAGAAATGTCACTCGCCAATTTACCAAGCATTACAGAAGTAAACTGATACAGGATCTTGAATATGTACCCACAATGCCAAAAGATGTACAGTATAACGCCCATGTCTCAAAGTCACTAGATTTGTCGCGAGTTGCTTCAACTAATTTTAGTTGCCAGAACAAAACGAATATTGCTTAGGTCTAATGACAGAATCTCTAAGTTGGCAACATTTCCCATTAGACCTCCCGTGTGCTAACTTCTTCTGAGCACAGTATTAGAGCACAGAGACGTGAGAATATTATAAGTTACCACCCAAGAGAGTTCGTGACAAATTCACGAATCTAATTTATATCAATAAGCCTTTGCACGGGCAAGGGGAATTACCTGGAAAGGCAACAAATTCATCGTAGTATTAATCTTCTTATCCACATGGATAACATAAGTCATTTCCGTGGATGAGTGCAAATAGGATGTGCCAAGTCCCGTCTTCCCCTCCCCCAAACATCGCCACGCGGAACACACATGAGAGCCTTGCTGCTGTATTTGTTTCTCGAATGCTCTCGTTATCACTTGTCCAGGTGGGTTTCTTGCAAGTGTATGTCAAAGCTAAACCGCCCATGACGCAAAAGTGCAATATAAAAAGAATGAGTTGGTGCTTAACGGGGATAGCATTCAAATGTAGGAACGCTACTTGAAGGCTGCACGGGGATAGCGTGACACACGGCTGACTTTCGAGAGCTCTCTGGTGCCTTCACGCCCACACACTCATTCCACCCCTTTGCACCATTTCCTTTTGCCACAAGCTAAGCACATGTAGTTGATGGCTGGTGGTGGGCGGGCTGGTGGGTGGGTGAGCGAGGGAACACGGCAAGCCGAAAGATTGAGGCCACAAACAGCACAACAAAAAGGTGGTCAAAAACACACACACACACAACATTGTAAGCACAACAAGAGTCATGAGGCTCTCGTTAATCTCACAAGGCAAACTTTACTTGAAACCACTTTAACCCCGGTGTTTTACTGTATGCTAGTTGGGATCATGATGTCACGTGGTTGGTGAGATAGGGTTGGCATTATGCTTAAAGCTACAACATTGCGGTGTGACAGTGAAGCCAGTCTTCACCCCAGCCTCTAAATCAAGTTACTGTACCACACAAGCAGAACAATGTAGAAAACAACTTTATCCTCGTAGGAGGAGGGCTTTCTTCATGAATAAAAGATGACATCAGTTTACAGATAGAATTGGCGCTCAAGTCACAGGTCTTATGCAAGACTGTGACTTGATGATAAAGATTCAACTTTGGCCTGGCAAACAACTCAAGCAGACACATACAATGAGTAAATGCAATGATACACGTTATACGCCCACTACTTCTGGCAAACTCGGATCACCACCGGTTCCCGACAGCATCCATTTAGCCCCAGTTCAGCCCTCATCCACCTCACTCATCGCAAACCGTGTCCACCAATCCTCTTAAGTTTCTCTCGTTATCTTTCCAATCTGCATGGTGGTGGCCACGAAAATGGTCACTAGACGGCAGGAGGGCAATGGATTCCTACCACACGTCAAACGATTATGAATGGAATTGGCCAAACCATCACAGAGCAGACCTGCCCTGAAAAAGTATTGAGACGAAAGTTTAGGCGCTTAAATGAACAAATAGGAGGCATCACTGTTGTTATTACAGTTCATTATCAGCTCAATGTCCTCCCGTTATTCCGTGGCTCTCTCTACATCTTACGAGCCTGTCACCAACAATTCTATTTGTCCCCAAACCATCCCAAGTGATGTCAACTTCCTCGCTTGGTATGCAGGAGGTCGGAAGTTCGATTCCGAACCAGACGCCTGTATATTTGGAGTTTTCATTTTCTCCCCATGGTGGCGTGGATTTTTTTTTCTCCGGGTCCTCGGGTTTTTCCCTCCAAATTTAGAAACATGAATTTTGATTATTTTGATTACTTTGGTGCTGTAAATGTCCAAATTATAGGCCACTTTGTTGAGCGATCACTTGTGGCCAAGATCGCTTCTGAAAAACAAGTTGATACCTCAGTGGGCTTTGCCTGGTAGGATGGGGATGGTTTCGTGTTGTGTTTGTGTGACTTGTTTATCTTTCTTGTACTTTGTACTACCATCATGTTTTTCTACGGTTTGTTGGTGCAACGTTCTTATCCGCCCCTACCGGACATCGATAAAAAATTGCTTTAGAGCTCATCGGATTCCTCCAGTACAAATAAATATTCTGATACCCTCCATCCTTCATCCGCCTCTCCAAGAAGCACACTGCCTCAAGGCACCCCTCGCCCCACAGCTTCCTTAAGATCCACACATTCCTCCTCCACCCTCCTGCAAAATGCCTTTTGCCCCAAGGGCCCTGTCAATCCGAGTCCCCATGCACGAGGTCCCCCCTCTTGCCCCCTTATTCTCCTGCCACATTTCATTCAGCCCCTCGTTTTGTTTCACTCCAGAGCCAAACTCCCTTCCGTCCACCATTCCCCCCCCCCCCCAGTCTGTTTTCCAATCAGCTACAACATTACACCAAACCATGTCTTGTCCATACAGTTTCACATTCCCACACTGCCCACCGCCTACAATCCGTCACGTATTCTCCCAGATGCTGGCCTGCTCTTACAACAAACTCGCGAATGGCAACCACCTCTACCAGCCCACCTCCCAACAACACACGTGGTATCTTGATCATTGTCCACCTCATTGCTACTCAAATCGAGTACGTCACCATCATCACCAACAACATCACAGCCATCATCAACCCAAAGCTCAGCTGCTCATGCTCTCGTCCACTCATCTCAATGCCACATTACCCCACTACCACAGTCCTCTAAACTACCATCACCCAGCCACATTTCACAGTAACGTCATATAATCCATTGTCACACTATCAACTTACACACAACCACATCATTCACTCGTTTATCACGCACGCCAGTCCATCGCTACCATCACCTCCACTAAATCAATCCCAAGTCACTCAACTACACCATTCGACTCTCCTACCATCATCCTCCTAATTTCACAATCGCCGACCTAAACACCACCCCACAAATCCATCCACATAGTCACCCATCCACACAATTAAACCATCCCCTCACAACCATCAATCACGACCACCGCGCCATCCATTCAGCCGACCCAAACCCACCACCCATCTCGAACCCTTCTACACCGACTCACAACCAAACATGCCTTCACCTATATGCCTTCACCCACCACCATTACACCAAAATCCATACTGCCCTCCCAGACATGCCATCAACTTATTGGCAACACCACAGCCCCAACTAAATCATCATCTCCTACCCACACCATGCCAGGGTCCCTTCACCACCACCCAGTAATAATATCCACCCCACCATTCCATCAACATGCCAATCCCTACCCACACCATCACCTTCCACGCCACCAACTTTCAACACCACCACCCAATGGACTCCACACAGCTAACCCAAATCCCATCTACACACACACACCGACTCAATAACATTTCACCCGATCTCCCTCCCCAAAAAAACCCCACCAACTCGTCCACCTTACCAGCTGGAACTCCCTCCTCCTCCTGTACGCCTCTGCGATGCCCCCATCGGCCCAGAGGTGCCGCAGGGCCGGCACGTACTGCTGGAAGACGGCGGGCGCCACCTCGTTGAGGCCCCCTCCGCCTCCCCGGCCGTCGAAAGCCATCGCGAAGGCGGCGTGCCTCTCGTTGGCCTGCTCGGCCCAGGGGATGCCCAACTTTTGCCGGGCATCCACCAGCACTCGCATGCCCTTGATCACGTTGCCGTAGATGGTGGCCCTGAATTCGTCGAGGGCCCTCTGGTCGAAATCTCGGCCGTGGATGATGCGCATCTGCTTGAGGAAGGTGCTCTTGCCGCTCTCGCCGGCGCCCAGCAGCAGCACCTTGACGACCCGACGTGCCTGGTGCTTCTCGCGTGACAGCATGGCGTCGATCTGCTTGCTCTTGCGACGCTGCTCGATCTCCCTCTGCGAGAGGAAGCAGGTGGGGAAGCAGCCGGCGAGGCACGAGTCCGTGGGTAGGAAGTCGGCCATGGCTGCTGCTGCCGCTGGTGGCTTGTGCTGCTGCTGCTGCTGGCTTCGCTTCACCCGCACCGCTTGCTCGCCCTGTGCGTCCGTCTCTGCCTCTGCGTCTTCCTCCACCCCTCCTCCCCTCCTCCTGCTGCTGCTCTTGCTGCTGCTGAATCCTCCCGCCCCTGCCGCCCTTTGTCGGGAGGGAGAGGCCCGGCCGGGCGCCTTGTACCGCGGATCCGCACGCAGACGCCAACAAAAGTAGCCCCCCCAACAGGCCACGCGTACTAGCGAACAACCCCCTCCTCCTCGCCCTCGCCAACAACTTTTATCTCCCTCCCTGCCTCCCTCCCTGCCTTCTCCTCCTTCTCCTCCTGCTCCTTCTTCTTCCCGCCCGCCACTTCTTCTTCTCCCGCGGCTCGCGAAACGCGCCGAGCGCCGCCGGCTCCACGGACCCCAAAAACTACTTCGCGTCGTCGTCCTCCTCGGTGTTGTTGTTGTCGTTCTCTTCCCTCCTGCTCCCTCCTCACTCCCTCCTCCCTCGTCGTGTCCGATGGAACTTCGCTATCTCCTCCTCCTTCTCTTATTCTACTTCTACTGCTTCTTCTTCCTCCTCCTCCTCCAGCCTCCGGTCCGAAGCCGCCTCTCTCGCTTCGCCTCCTCCTCCTCCCCCACTTCTCCGTCCGTTCTTCGCCGGCGCGACAATTCTCTCTCTCTCGTTGTCGTAACAACAACAACCACCGCCGCCAACACCACCACGAAAGAGAGATGTTTCTCGTTTACAAACGAGGAAACTTGTGGGGGGATGGGAAAGCGAGGAGACGCTGTGGAGGGAGAGAGCGAGAGAGACGAAAAAAATGGGGCCGGGTTTGGTGAGCGGGCGGAGGAGGAGACACGGGACCACGGGATGTGGGGCGGTCATACAATTAGAGCGCGGGGGGTGGGTCTGCAGAGGTTGACAGGTCCGATCAACCACCCCCACGCACACCACACACACACACAGCCACACACCCCCCACGCACACACAGCCACACACACACACAACCCACACCCACCCACACACACCCACACACACATACACCCACCCACACACACCCACACACACACACCCACACACACCCACACACAACCCACACACACAGCCACACACCCCCCACGCACACACCCACACACACCCACACACACAGCCACACACCCACCACGCACACACCCACACACACAACCACACACACACACAACCCACACACACCCACACACACCCACACACACACAACCCACACACACCCACACACACAACCCACACACACCCACACACACACATACACCCACACACACCCACACACACACACCCACATACACCCACACACACAGCCACACACCCCCCACGCACACACCCACACACACACACCCCCACATCCCCCACACACACCCCACACACCCACACACACCCACACACACCCCACACCCCCAAGCACACAACACACACACACAGCCACACACCCCCACGCACACAACCCACACACACCCCACACCCCCACGCACACACACACACAGCCACACACACACCCCACGCACACACACACACAGCCACACACACACCCCACACACCCACACACACACAGCCACACACACACCCCACACACCCCACACACACACCACACATACACCCACACACACCCACACACACCCCCACACCCCCCCCACACACACACCACACCCACCCACACACCCACCCACACACCCACACCCCCACACACACACCCCACACACACACACTCCCCACACACACACACACTCCACACCCCCCACACACACACCCCACACACCCCCCCCCACACACACCCACACACACCCACACCCCCCCCCACACACCCACACACACCCACACACACACCCCCCACACACACACACCCCACACACACACACCACACACACCCACACACCCACCCCACACACACACCCACACACCCACCCACACACACCCCCCACACACACACCCCACACACACACACACCCACACACACACACCCCCCCCCCACACACCCACACACACACCCCCCACACACACACACCACACACACCCACACACACACCCCACACACACACCACACACACCCACACACCCACCCACACACACCCCCCACACACACACACCCCACACACACACACCACACACGCCCACACACACACCCCACACACACCACACACACCCACACACCCACCCACACACACCCCACACACACACACACCCCACACACCCCCCACGCACACACCCACACACACACCCCCACATCCCACACACACACCCCACACACACACCACACACACACACACCACACACACCCACACCCCACACACACACACACCCCACACACACACACCCACACACACCCCCCACACACACACCCCACACCCCCACACACACCCACACACACACACCCACACACACACCCACACACACCCCCACACACACACCACACACACCCACACACACACCCCACACACACACACCCACACACACACCCCACACCCCCCACACACACACCCCACACACACACACACACCCCCACACACACCCACACACCCACCCACACACACCCCACACACACACACAACACCCCACACACACCCACACACACACACACCCACACACCCACCCACACACACACCACACACACCCCACACACACACACACCCCACACACACACCCCACCCCCCCACACACACACACCACACACACACCCCACACACACACCCCACCCCCCCCCACACACACACCACACACACCCACACACCGTGCCGCCCGGGTGGGTTGGGGCTGCTGGTTTGCTCATCATCGTGGGATGGGAGGTCGAGGATGTGGCGATGTGGGACGACGGGCTTCACGCGGGGCAATTTGTGGCATTTATCGACAAATGAAAACCCGATGGGCCAATCATAACGTGGAGTGAAAAATGTGTTGTGGTTTTTTTGCTTCTTATTTAGTTTGAGTTAAAGGGGATTCAGCATGTATTGGGTATGTGTGTGTATATATGGGCGGACATTTTATATAGAGTACATGTACATTTATTTGCGTCTGGCCAACGTGGAAGAGTAGGCCAAACACCTCTGCCAGAAGTGGTGTGAGCCGGTATAATTGCACGGTATATTTTTAGAGAAAGAACGCCTATTTCTGAAGACACAATATTCCCAAGAGGACCGCACTTCTCAATGTAAACGCTGCCTAAACGGTGAAAATGATTCAAAATAGGAATCGTCGGGAATTCCCGGGAGAAACCCCCACGCACACTGTGAGTCAGCGAGACAACGCCCACGTTTCATCGAGACAATCTGTTTCATGACACATTCGGCCAGTTTGTGGAACACATCGTGCCACAAATTTCATTCACTCGCTACTCTATTTTTACTACGACCTCAAGAACAACGACTGCAAATCAATGGCACTTTTTAGACTTACTGTATGGTGCGTGGTGCTCCCTCCCCCCCCATTCGGGGGACGGGACTGAGAAGGTAGGCGGATTGGTGACTTCGCTTTCGGGAAGGGGCTGAACCATGATGATATGGGGGGGAGGAGGTCTCTTGATTTGCAAGAGGCGGAGTTTGTGTGGGGAGACTTGTGGTGGGGTTTTTTTAACAAGAGGCAGGAACTTCATGGGGGGTGGAGCGGTAAGGAAGGAGGGGCAGAGGCTAGAGAGTGTCTGGCAGAGGCTGTGCTTGGGGGGGGGTTATCACGGGAGTGGCCAACGGGGTGGGAGTTAAAACGCTGTAGCTGCTCCCAGCAGTCCATGTCATTTCAGCAAGGCCATATGTCTGTCCTCACGAGCTGAGCACACCCATGTCACATCGGACGTCGCGCCGAGCGACACGCGAAACAGCCCGAAAACGCACGGCGGAGTAGCAGCAATGGGTTTGGTTTCGTTGCGTTATCTCTGTCCGTGCGCACATCATTACATTTTAATTTTCTGTCCTTCCATAATGCGCCCCAGGATTTGGTTTAAACGCGGAGTGCAGTAAAGGAATCTATTATTATGTTCATTACAGTAAACCAAGGCAATGCGATGTTTTTTTTACTGAACTGTGTATCTATAATCTTGATTTGAAGCTTTCGTGACTGCAGGAATCCATACTCTTTGGTTCTTTCGGTAAAGTCACGTAATAATGTGTATCTATAATTCACTATTACACCGCGGATCTGCGAAACAACGAAATCCAAGGACGGAAGTCGTGCAGAACTGACGGGCGGCACTGGTTTGGGAGCAGACGCAAATACACTGCGCGCTGCTACCTTCTTCGCCTTAGTTTACTCCACGTGGTGAAGTACTGCGCTCCCTCTTGGCTAAGAGTTGCACATCCAAACAACCAGATGCCATCTCAAACGACACACGATTGCAGATTGTCACAGGTACACGAAAGTCAACTCCTTCACCCTGGCTCTCTGTGCTGTCAATCATCCCTCCTGAGATCTGCAGACTAAAGAATTACCATTGATACGGCTGCATCAAAGCCAACTCAAATGTGCCCATCCATGCAGATCTATGTATTCTACCAAACTTCCGCTTGAAATGCAAATAATTATTGAGCACAACCAGACCAATCATTATAAATCGGGGCTTCAGTGACTCGGAGAAATGGTGACACATTTCCGATCATTGATTTCAAGAAAGAACCTCCAGGATTGAACTACTTCGAACATAATAGACCACATTCAAATGAATCCATACATCTCACAGCCTTCCCAAGCGGAAACTCAACGGAAGCCTGGAATGTGATTGCAGAAATAACAACCAAACCATCGCCCACATAATGAACCACTCTGAAGACAATTCAAAGATGAAGCAATCCACCACACAACTAAAGGCATTTTTTTAGCTTACTGGTATAGACATAGATGAATACGTTGCTATTCATCCAGCCACATGGTACATGTGAAATCTGTTATGTTTAGGATTGTGATTGCCGACTGTAGGCCTGTTTTCATACAGTACAAGAGTAATGTTTTATTTATAACGAGCTTGTTTGCCCGTCCTAGGACGGAAGCTGTAATATTTACGAAAAAATGAGCAGAGTATAATTGTATCTTGTGTAAATTTAATGGCACTGAATCTTGCACAAAAGTATGTCATCAAACACTTGACTGCATTTCACTGTATCATTGTATATAACCAACCTTCAATTTGTTCAAATTCACTGCTCTGATACTTTATTCTCTTCTGCTTTCGGTCGCTGTGGTTGATTTAAATTGGAATTCGATACAATATCTGAAAAATCACCGAGAAATGTCTATTTTATCATAATGTAGAATCATAAATTAGACTTTTATCTCAAGTGCTGAAGAAATAATTAAGACACCAAATCCACTTTGTTGCTGCGTATAATTTTTATTAGTTCGATTTCAATAAAGAAACGTCAAACTTAAAGCGAATTTGCAAAAAAATTATTTCCGCTCGACCGTCTTCTGCGTGAGTGTAAAAATCCACCCGCTCATGAATATTAATGATGGGGGGTGCGGCATGTGGAGTGACGTCACCCGCGTTACACACAAACAGACATTCTTGGCTCATTATAGTATTATAGTAGTAATAATACAATGGCAATAATGTGATACCTACGAATAATTGTGAACATACCTTGAGTTTTCTAAGTTTTAAACGCAGGTATCTCATGACAAATCTTCAGTTCTAAGTTGTGTCCTCATTACGCTCTCACCTTATGACATTATGGAACTGATAACAGAAACATTTACAGAACCACGTTCCTCCAACTCGTTACACTATTTTATTTTGGCTCGTGCAATGAACCCACTGCCAGGTGAAGGCCTCACCAAGCCACCACCATCCCTTGTGGTCCCCCGATTCAACCACTCAGCACCTGCACA